GGGGGGGCGCCCACTCTGCCGTGGACCGCCACGCCACGCCCCGACCCACCACGCCGCTTGCAGCTTTTTGGCTGGCAGTGTCTTTCGCCTTTTTTGGGTGGCTGCGCTCTCGCGGGCTCACAGGAGTGGGTAGAATAGCCAAGCATCGCGCTCGACCCGCTCGAACAGCAGGCGGACCGCACGGCCTCGGCGCGGCCCGGGTCAGCCTTCCAACTTCCACGGGACAGAGAAAAGGCCGGCGGCAACCAGCCACCTCGTACAGTCCGGGCCAATAGCACATGCGCAGGGCGGCAACCAGCCACCTCGTACAGTCCTGGCCAACAGCACGTGCGCGCGGACGGACGCTTAAGGTTTCGCGCTTGACTTGCACGGCTTGTTCTTTTTTTTTCAGCCTTCCCCGCGCCGGAGCTGTTATTGGCAGCAGTGAGGCTCTCAGCTGGCCGACCGGCGACCGCAACAGGAAGAGGTTGGCGACACTGCCGCGGGCGCGCGCGCGCGCGCGCGCAGCGGAGGCGGAGTGCCGTGTAGTGCTCGTGCAGGGGCCTGGAGGCGGCAGCCTTGCTCAGGGTAGCCGCGGACAAGGCGAAGGCTATTGGCTATGCCGGTTAGAATTGGGTCGCTGCGACAACACCTGGGCAGCGTATGCGTCTGCCGGCCCCTTGCCTCCCCGCCCCGCCGCGACGCCCGCGGTCAGCGCGCACGCGCGTCGGCGAGCTGGGCAGACGGGACTGCCTAGCAGAGGTATGTTCATGGCGGCCATTTGGCACGAAGGCAAGGAGGGTCCACGACGAGTGAGTTGCCTAGGCGGGGCGGGGTGGGGCAGAGGGGCCAGGGGCCGGGTGGGACGCGTCGCCGCCGCCTGCTGGGACGACGCTGCCACTCAAGGGCGCTATCGGGGAACACACAGCGCGAGGCTGCGTAGGACGGACCACCTACGGCCAGAGTACGTGTGAGGTGACACGCTGTTGGTGGGGGCGCCGCGTTCAAACGACGCGCGTCGTAAAATGTAGTTTGTGTTTGTTGCTGGGCCGCTGTGCCACTTCCCGTCGTCGCGTCCAGGGCGCCGCCACCGCGTCGAAGAGCAGGCGTTGACGGATCTACGCGGGGCGATAGCGACCACGTAGGTCCGAAAGGGCTCGACACGGTCACCACACCTACTGGCCGAGGACCAGCGCCGACGCGTGCGGGCGCCGTATGCACCACCTCACCTCTCCCGTATTGTGCGCAGTTCCTGTACTTCCCCTCCTCACCTGGCCCCTTTTACGCGCGCGCGCTCTCTATCGTTCTCTCTCTCTCTCTCTCTCAGACACACGCGCGCGCACGCACTGCACTCCTCAAGGGACAATGGGTGGCAAAGTCTCAGGCTGGGAACCACCAGAAAAGCGCGCGGGACACTTTGTCAACCCATGCAGGCAGTGCGTGGCGCGGCGTGGTGTGGCGGGGCGTAGCGCGGCGCGGTTGGGCCGCAGCCGGTGAAAATGGTTCATCTAAACTAATGCATGCGGCCTGGCGCGCGGCCGCGGGACGTAGTACGTGGGCGTCCAGCAGGACCAGAGCGGCGCGGCGGAGCTGGTCGCCTCCAGGAGGGCCTCGTTGCCCACCTCCAGAGCCCATATACTTCAGGACGCACCGGTCCCGATATCGAGGAGTGTCGGGCGGGCGGGGCTGGACCGGCCGCGCCCGTGCACAGGGAGGAGAAGCAGGAAGAGGAGGAGGATGACGATAAAAAGTGGGACACTAATTTTCTATGACTCCTTTCTTTCTCTCTTCCGGGCGGCGGCCGACGGACGCGGCGGTCCTGGTCCAAGCGGCACGATAGTATAGGAGTATAGGGAGCGCCGCTGAGCCGGCCTCGGCTGAGCCGAGCTCTGAGGTGTGCGGGGCACGGGGCAGCCGGGCGCGGGGGGGGGGGGGGGCATTCCTCGACGGGGCGAGGCGACATGCCGCGGACGCGGAGCGCCCCGGGCCCAGAGAGGCTGGGCCGCGAGTGGGAGGAGCCGGGTGGGAGTCCTGCAGGTTCTGCGTGTGGGTCCAGGGCGTATGTGGTTTAGGCAGGCAGCCTGCAGGTCCGGCCTGGAGGATACGGTATACGGGATGGCTTCGGACCCAGCCTCGGCCACGCCCGCGCCACACCGTCCGCGGCCGCAACAGCTGAGCGCTTGCGTGCCATATGCGTAGCGCGCCTACTAGAGCGTGTCGCCTCCCCTCGCCGACAGACTCGCCGGAGGAGGGGGCAGGGAAATGGTCCTTGACCGCCGCGCTCCTGCCGTCCGCGGGCCAGCGGTGCGGCGGTGGTGTGGAGGTTGGTTGGGCGAGTGGCCGCATACCTCAGGGGCAGTAAAGAAGCCCCCCCTCCCCTGCTCCCC